CTCGGCCCCGCTTTCTCCCCGGCCTGTGGGCAGCAGTCGGCCCGCTGGGCCCACATCGATCTGTTTCTCCGGGACACAGGCCGGCTTCCAGCTGTGGGCTGTCTCGGTGCCCACCTAGAAGGGAAGTCCTACCGATTGAACCTGGAAGGACAGGTTTTTCCCTGGGCTGGCGTGGACACTGGGAGCAAAGAGGCGGGAGGCCAAGGGCTGAGCTTGCGGTGGCTGCGCCCAGCTAGCCTGGGGTGAGGGGCCTGGCAGGCACCTCCCGTTCGCCCATCGCCGGCCCTCTCCGTCGGCCTCCAGGCTTCCTTCGCTGTGTGAGCCTGAGGAGAATTCCCAGTTTGAGTAGTGTCAGCCCAGATGAAGATGGGCGGACTTCCCCACTAGCCGTCCCGGGTTGCCGAGCTGAGAGGGAGTCCCCCGCCTCGCCTATCCGGGCTGCTCCTTCATGCCCAGGTAGCCCAAATCCCAAAGGCATCATCACCTAATAGAAGTGGAGACATCCCTGAAAGTTTGTTAGGTCTCAGGGAGGTGGGTGGTGGGATGGGAAGCTATTTCTTCCTTGACATGCCACTTACCACTATTAGGAAAAGAGAAAGAGAAGCCACTCTGCGAGAGATGTCTTTTATTAAAGCGGACAAGACAAATAGAGCAAGCTTTCCAGTTGTGATGATGTTAAAAGCAAGCCTCATTATGTGGGTTGGTTTTATACCCTTTGGGGCTTTATTAGACAGCATATATGAAACAGGAATTTATAATTCTAAATGTTAGCACTTTATTAAATAAAGCAACAGTGGTTAGTTGAATTTGGGACGTTTTGCTCTTGATTGTCACTCCAAACTTAACAGTGTTAGCTTTTCCTAGTGCTACTCATTTATTTGGATATGTGGGGGTTCCAGTCTCCCCTGGATTAACACAGAAAGAACCAAAAACACCCCTCTTCTTAACCTGTCAAGTTAGTCTGAGTTAGTTTGGGAACGTTTTGTCTCAGGTCATCTCTGTTTCGTGCTCTTGGTGCTGTTGTTTGGTTTGAGATTAGTACATTGATTTCTGTCACAGGTCATGTTTTTTAATAGATCTGCCCTGCCTGGAGAAAACTCTTCAGCTCAGACACCATGATGGCTTTGAACCTGCCTAAAGTTAATCTGCAGAATTTAAAAGCACTAAGAGCACTCTAAGTCAATGTGTTAGTTTAATGGTTGTAGAAATACCTTTCTATTTGATCGTTATCAGTTTGATAATGTTCAAAAGAGGGACTGAGGTACCCCTATATAGTCAAGAAATTTAGCTCTAACATTAAACATTCTTAGAGGCTTCTGAAGGCATTTATCTTGGTACGTTACTATAATGAAACTTACTTTTAAAAATAATATTTAAAAAGTAGACAGTGGTAGCCAGTTTTAACTCAGAAATGTTGAATTCTTAGGTACTTTTTGAAAAGTCAACTTGGATGTAAAAGTCCAAATAAAAAAGTAATTTTAAAATAAAAACTGTTTATCACAGAAGATAGGAAATATTTCATATGTGTGTAGATTTATTAAATTCTATAAATTCAGTGTTTCATTTCCTTTTAATTTTGCAAAATTAAGTTAGCCATAACTTATGCTTTTATATAGAAAGTATCAAGAGTTTGCTAAACTAGTAATATAATCAAAAGACTTCAGTCTTTTGAAAAAAAAAGTGTTAATTGCAACTTAGATAATTTTTAAATTTTTCTTTCAAAAGAAAGTTCAGTGGATACATTAATAAGAATGGGTACTATATCTAAATGAAGTGAATACATTTTAGCTTTATGAAAGATATGATTTAAAAGTATATTTAGTTAGGTAAAATTAGCATTAAATATATCCTGATCACAATGAGTAAGTATATTATTGTGTAACCTGTGTTACAAATAACTTGGGCAGCAGATGGAAATTTATCTGCTACTCTCCTTGACACCATAAGCATCTGTAAATCTAAGCTCACAGGAAAAATATTAAACTCATTTGCTGTCAGAATAGTTTTACTGTTAGAATCTATGTTCTTGCTAGTCACTTCTGGAAAGTAGGTATTCAGTTTTCACATTCTGCTAACATTTTACTTGCCAGTTTTTATTGGGTGGTAGACCAAACTGATTTTATGTGTTGAATTAGAATCACTTTGTGAAATAACAACTGAGATCTATCAGTCTGAATAGATATACTGAATAGAAATATGATAATATTTGCCTCCACACATCTTCTATGTCTAAAATTTGAAAACTTGCGTGAGTTTCACCTAAAAGCGTGAAGACTGAATGGTCCCTTGAATATACTTTGTATTCTAAATTGGAATGTTACTAAATAACTTTGAATAATCAAAGTCCAAATCAAAGAGGGTATAATCTATTTTCCTTTATTTTTTTAAGGCTATAGAAAGCTTTTTAATAACTTTAAAAGAAGACTTTTGCTAACATAACTACTTTCATTCTCCCTTAGTATATATACTTGCAAAGATAAACATTGCTTTATATAAAGAATATAAGTTTTAAGCTGAAGCATGCTATAGTTTGGTGCCTACAATAAGAATATTCTTTTGAATATTGTGTATAGATTGGAAAGATTCTTCTTGGACTCTTCTGACTGCCAAGGATGCCAGGATAAGTAAACATTTCTCTAAGTTGGCATTATAGATGCAATAAGTAAAATAATACAGTAACAGATATAACTTTGGGTAGTACTAATTCTCCTTACTTGGTGCTTCTAGTATCCTCAGTTTAAAAGGTTATTCTCTTAAGATGAAGAATCTGTGGTAACTCATCAAGGATTTGCTACACTTTAACCTAATCCCATGTTTTCTTTGGATTTTTTTTTCAATTCTTTAGGAACTTGTAAATTAAACATTTCATGTTAGAGTAGTAGGTAATTGACACCATTTAATTTTGCTAACATACAATCTTGAAGTTGTGAAAGTAATGTGATTTCTAGGTCAATGCTCCCAAGTCCTCTGACAGTACAGGTCATGTATGTGGCTAAGGAAGAGAAGTAGTAACATTTCTCCCCAATCAGATTCCCTTGGATGTTTTTCTTCTTTCAAAATTCACTTGCCTCATTTTTAACTATTATTTTGATGTATGAATAACAGAATACTGGCATTGTGCCTTTTTTCACTGACAACATAAATGAAATCATCATGGTTTAGACCTATGAATTTGTTATGAGAAAAGATGAAAGGTTTATCTCGGTTTTAAATAAATTTTGCTAGTAAACTTGTAAGGGATTTCCCTTATTTTAAAAATTTTAAATGTTTAATGTCTTTTTTATGTTAGAAGCATGTTTTCTTCAAATAAAAACATTACTTAGCATCTTAACTTTTATTCTGAGCCTCAATGTAACTATGATTTTATTAAATGTATTAGGATAATCTTGTTATTTTGATACGTATACCTGAATTTATATAAGTACCAGAAGAAGAATAAGGCAGTACAATTATTTATCTGGGGGCCTGAAGTTAATTCCTTCCCCTGTTTAAATCTGACATTTGTAAAAGAGAAGTATATTCCTTGTTTTTTGGCTGCCTTTCCAAAGAATTTTGAAAAGCAAAGTTTGCTACAGCGATCTTATGTTCCAGCCACTGTATGCATTGTTTTACGTAATTATAACAAACTATCAAATGTAGCCATCTGTCTTTTGGGAGACTGGAACTTCAGTGCTGTTTGAGGCACATTTGGTTGTACAGGCTCATTTGGCATTTCCAATGTCAACAAACCACTTGTGATTAAAAGTATCAGACAGTCTGTGGTAGTTCATTACTGCCAGCGTGACTTTAGTGGTATTAACTAGACCACTGGTTCACAGGACTAATATCTTATTGTCATGTGTGTTGAGGCTGATAAACAATAGCTTTAGAGACTTCCGTCTTTTGAGAATCAGGGTTGGAGGAAGCACTTAGTTATTTGGGGGCAAATTAACCTTGTGAATTTCCTGTCATTTAATCTTGTTCAATGTCTTCTGAACAGGTACCTCATTACATTCTGTCCACTGG